TATTATCAATAAAAATTATTACCTTTTTAAGCACTCGAGCATTGCCTAATGCAATCATTTCATTTAGGCTTTCTGAATTGTTAAACTAGAATCAGGAAGCTGGATTTTCTAGTTTTACTTTCAGTTTACTTTTAAGCTTATATGCATGTTAGCCTAAGAAGAAAGTTAAAAAACAAAACAAAGGAAAATAGCAACATCCTGTGGCGTAAACTTAGAGATTAAGTGGCACCCGATGACTGGAATTGTTTCATTACTTCCTCAAACCTTATCAACTTAAGAATGAAATGTTGCTAGTAGTAGCTGTCTGAAAATGAAATAAATAGCAGGGATTGCAACATAAACTCTGTTTGGATGTTTAATTTTGCAAAAATCTAATTCATATCTCTATATATTAATTAATATCTGTATTATTCGACTTAGTAATCATTTATGTAAACTATATACGTGTGTGAGCGAAAAAAAAACGATTATAACTCTCTACATTATGTTATCACACACAAACACATATAGACGTCTTTCGCATAGAACTAAAATTCTTTTTTCCCGTGCGAAAAAGATTCCACATTATTTTCTTTCAATATGACTTCACAGGTTTTAACAAACGGCATGCCAAGCCCTGCAAATGGTTGAAATAAATTTCACTGGAAAAACTGTGTAATTCGACTTACATTGCAGAAATTGTTAATTGATACTGAAACCACCAATGTTAAATAAATTTGTTTATGAATTTTTATCAATTTTTAACAGTCTTTTTACCTTTTAATGCGAGTACTTGAAATTATATCTGTCACTATGTTTTAAAAGACTATAATTTTAGCAGTATTTATAATCATCATTACAAATAACTTTTCCCAAATTCTTTGAAGATTATCTAAACTTCAAGTAAAAAGAGTCTTTCTGTGCATAAACTTGCAGTGTTAAAGATCATGCCAAAGCCACGAGTCTTCACCTTTTGCTGGTTTCATTTTCATTTATGTTCTGCATCATTTTTAAGTGTTTGACCCTACATTCTAATGAAAATGTAGGGTCAAACACTTCTGTGGGATGAAAATGTTACATTTATTTTGCAGTCGTAAATAAATCAAGCATTGCCATGAAATATGAGTTTTAAAAAGCTTGATGTTATGTTTTCCTTTATGAAGAATTCTTCATTTACGATATGCGAAACTGTTTTCATCAAACCTTGCATCAACATTAAGCTTTTAACGCTTCTGCAGGCATTAGCACTGAGATTATCTGCGTTATTGCGGGCTACAAGTTCGTACAGGGCTTCTTAAATAACCATGCCAGATGAATAGCAAGATGTGAAACACTGCTGAGAAAAACAAAAGTTTTTGTAGGTGATAATCTCTGTTTCCAAGTGCGTTACTTTTATAATTTAAACATCGACGTTTCGAAATTAAATTATTTGTAGCATAAATCATGAAGTAAGCCTACACAAATGTAAAAGCGCACTTCCACAATGTTCCAATGTCACACTTGCAAAATTATTAAAATTACATAAAAAATAAACATAAAATACTTATAAAAATTGCACTAATTTAAAAATCAAGTTAAAGCAAATTCATAACAATACAAAAATACTTTCAAATGTAAATAAATAAATGTAAATATTCGTAAAAATGTACAACAGTACTAATATGCCAGACTTCCCTACTGCAGTGCAATTTCCAAAGAAAGAATATGCTTGCTTTGTCATATTTCAGCCTCTCCCCTTTCCACCGATATTCGAGAGATAATTCGCGAAACAAATAATCCGCACCACAGCCATATTTTGATATGTATTTTTACAAATTTATTGTTATTTTGAGAAAGTTCGCGAAAGTATAAGCCCCATAGCACATTTATAACATCAGGTGCTAAGACGGCACTTCCACGTATTAATAAATCGACCTAAGCTGCACAATCGATAACCCCCTTAAATGTTCCTTCGATGTGTAAATCCTTCTAACGCGAACAGGTAAATTTCCTAAGCTATTACCCACAGCTGCCCATTGCTTTTAAGTTATATAGAACATGCAAGAAATGGAAGCTTATAATAATAAATTAGGAAATTTACTCTTGCGCATTTAGAAGCAACAAGGGTTTAGTCAGTAGGGTAGCTAGAACTTTAATAATTTAAAAATAAATTTAAAAATGGGAAAATGGCACGTAGAGAAACAAATTCGAACTATTTATTCAATTTTGAAGGAAAAATTTTAATTCCAACATTAAAAAAATAAAAATAAAAACTGAAAGGCTTTCAGATTTTATATTACGCCCAAAAAGACTTTTTCATTCACACAAACATACACGTTTCGGGAGCATTTGAACTAACGCCTCTTTGGGCTAAAAATATTTAAAAACAGCATATCTTTAGAATTTCCGATAGACAGTCTTGCATGCTGGAGATAAAAATACTTTATTACATACAGTGTGTTGCCACTGCTCGCTTTGAAATCGTTGAGTTTGTTAATCAAAAATTCGTTGAAGTTTAAAAAATGGGAAATAGATAATAAAGCAAATTCGAAATTCAAAATTCGGGCTTTCAGGGGCCCGTACTTGGGTGGAGGACTATGTTATTCAGAATTTGATCACTCTAGGTTTTGTTGTTTTCCTAAAATGCGAGAAACATACATACATTCATGCAGTTCTTCGTCGTTTAATTTCTTTAAATTGTAACAGACCTATTTAAGTGTAATTGAACTATTTTAATCACGCCATGAACTCATGAACTGTAACCGAACTATTTTATTTAAACGCCATCTCGTGGCGATATGAAAAAACGTCAGTCGACCTCCAGCCGCCATGACTAAAGCTTACTATGTTATGTTATTCTCAATGTTTGATGTTCCATTTGATATTTCATTTTTATGATTTCTTTTGTTTGTAACCGTTCCTGTGTGCTCTGTTAATAAATCCTTTTAAAGCTAGCCGCATTAGTGTCTATTGAGGAACGGCTACATCACATTGGCGCCCAACGTGAACGGCCCAATGTGATTAGCCGTTCCCAATAGACACTAATGCCGGCTAGCTTTAAACGGATTTATTAACAGAGCACACAGGAACGGTTTACAAACAAAAGAAATATACATAAAAATGAAACATATATCAATGGAACATCAACATTGAGAATACTAACATAGTAAGCTTTCGTCTGGCGCTGGAGGTCGACTGACGTTTTTTCATATCGCCCGAGATGGCGTTTAAATAAAATAGTTCGGTTACAGTTCATGAGTTCATGGCGTGAATAAAATAGTTCAATTACACTTAAATAGGTCTGTTACAAAATATAATACAGGGTGATAATATTTGGTGACTATAGATTGAAAACTGATACAGCCGTTTATTGTGATTCGACGCGAAATGCCGTTTGAAGACTAATAGCTCTTTAGTGCTGACGCTCCTTTGGGTTTAAAAAAAATTAGAAGAAAAAAATTGAACCAAATTGTTTGCAAAACCGTCTATAACATCGTACAGATCTATTTGATTGCTCAGTTGCTTTTGTCTATACAATATAGAAAGATTTCTTAAAAGAAAAATAAACATTTATATTTCTTAAATGATTGTTATTTAGAAAACTCTTTTCACAGCCAACAAACTAACAACAGTTACAGCCGTTGGGATGGAATTTCCCATTAGTACTATTACAACATTTGGCCGAGCGGTAGAGTCGCTGAACACTGGTAGTTCGGTCCGAGGTTCGAATCCCGCGAACGGGCTGGCTGCATGGGTGTTTTCGTGGTTTTCCCCATGTGTAACGTGTATACGAGCCAGTTTCCCTTAAGTCCTCCACGAAGGCATCCCTTCCCTTAGGCAGATAGCCCTAATGTGCTTTGCCATAATAAAATACAACAACATACAACAACAACTATTACAACATTTTGAACTTTGTTCTGGAGATCGTATTTTAGAATAAACTGCAAAAAATCACTCTTCCTCGATTGTGTTTCTTTTTCTACAGAAGTAACGGAAATAACTCTAATATATTTCTTTCTTAACGAGAAATTCTTTCTTGTGAATGTCACCATGATGTAGTTGATATTAATTTTCTTTTCAAATGTTTCGACGAAATAAAAATGTTATAGCAAGATTATGAAGCTGTTGAAATCTGGTGGTGGGTGATTTCTTTCAATACTTTATCTAGAGTAAAAAATTATTTTTCTTCTCAATTTAATTCTCTGTGACAATTTAGAATCTCGCTATTTTCACAGGCATCGAAGAACCACACGACGAACCCCTTTCAAATAATGTTTCATGCGGAAAATGTCGCCTCTAAGCATGTGCCGCCCGGGACAGACCACCCCGTATGCTTCCCTCTAGATACTCCACTGAGTGATATAGTGTAATAACTTAGCGGTTTTAACCATGTATTTATTCTTAGAATTTACCCAGTTCTATTTACCAGTTCAAAACTACTGTAATTTCTTGCCCAGTTGCATTCAAGGAATACTGGAGGTTCAAGTACAGAATTTCAAGAGTACACCAAGCATGATTTTTACATCTTTTATTTTATTATTATTATTATTATTATTATTATTATTTTCAAAACCTTGTCCTCTATTGACTGACTGCGTTAAGGATAATCCAGGAGAATGAAAAAGAAGTAATTCTGGAGTAAATACGAAGGCACGCATGCCTTGGTTATTAATAGCACTTCTTTCATTCGCTACGGCACTTTTGTTTACAAATGCATGCATGTCAGAATTACTTTTCTTACTCCAAAGAAAGCTATAAATAGTAGATGAGATCCGTTTTGTTCAAGACAGGGAAAGGTCGCGAAAAAGAATATTTTTTTTAAACGAAACGACTATTTTTTTTAATTGGTAAATCAAAAGATTTGATTTATTAGCCCGGCTGCCTTTTAATCAGTCTGTACTTGAGATAAAAACTTAATAGTCTCACGGAGGATCAATCACAAATTCCTCCAATTTGGGATTTCTTGTAATTCCGAAGACTGAATATTTTTTTTTTTTAATTGCAATGATATTTTACCCTAATCACGAATCCTTCTATTGCAGGTACCTGTGCAAAATGCTTGGGTGTAATTTCAGAGAAAGCCTGCACAGCAGAAAAATTGAATTATCATCAGCGATGCTTCGTTTGTTCGCTTTGTTGTAAGTGATTACTTTGTTACGCGGTCTTTTCATACATCTATAACTTTACTAACGTAATTGAAGTGTATGAGACATTAACATTCTTTTGAATTTTTGTTAGACAAAGAATTGTATGGAAATCCGTATTATACCATGAATGGAAAGCCTTATTGTGAAGAGGATTATTTGGTACGTCATTTGATACATTTCAAAGAATTTGCATACTTTGGCTCTCTTGTGTACTCCGGACTATTAAGTTTAGGTGATAATAAACTGTGAGTGTTTGTTCGTTTTGAAAAAATTTTAGAGGAAATGTATTGATCTGGAGCAAATCCAGCTATTGTTATATGACTTTAAAGCACCGTAAAATTCTTCCTAAAAACTCCTAAAAAATTAATATATAGGCCCTTTTTTAAATTTTAAATATTATTGTATTAAAATTTGAGGCTTGATTTATTAGACAGTCATATGCGTGATTCCATTACAAAACTATCCTTTAAAATAAGTCTATTAAAAGCTATAAGTACTTTAGACTGTATCGAAATTTTGAGTCGTTGCAAGAAGGCTGGATCATACGCAAAAAGATTTTTGTTTGTTTAACAAGCTTTATATATATATAAGAAGTGACTCATGTTATTTTAAACTTCTCTTCCAGAGTAAGCTCGACAAATGCGCCACTTGTAATCGTCCGATACTGGAAAAGGTAAGATATTTTCATGCCATAACTTAGCATACCATTCTTAGCTGCTTAGCATACCATTCTTAACTGAATAACTTAACAGGCATTCTTACTTGTTGTACACGTAAAATTATCTAAGTTCTTCCAGTGAGTTCTCTGACCTTTACTCGCTATTAATACGGGTATAACCGCACAACTCATTTGCATTTTGAAATGGCATTTGGCAGCTCTGCGGGGAGCATACAGAAGGTCACGGCAAGCTTCCTTACCTATTAACTGCCCTAAAAAAGTAAAAGCTGAATTTCAAGTTTTATAATCAGTGATTTATTTTGAATGTCTTCCTTATTTCACATTTTTGGATTAGAACATTAGTAGTGCTCTTCAAAGCGATGGAACCAAAGTTCTTCCTTGAAAAAATATCAGCTTAGCCTTTACATTCAGATTCCAGTTGAACACTTGAAACAATTTGAAGATAAAAAGTTATGACATGCCAACTATTTTACGAATGAATTCTCGAAAATTCAAAATACGGAACTTAAAATCGTATATTACTCAAACGAGTTACTCAAAATAGTAGTGCCAAATGGTAAGAAAAGGGGACCTCATTGTTTCAATTATAACCTCCAAAATAAGACTTTCACACTCATTCAATAAAGAAAAGAATTAATTACTCAGAATGTAGCTGCGTGCTTTTTTCACTGGATCGTTCGGGTCTGAGGCTTGCAACAAGTATTTCTCTCAGAAGTTTCTCAGAAAGGGTTAACATATTTTGCTAGGACACAAAATTAGTTTTGTGAAAATTTAGTATCACGGTCAGAGAAATAAATTTCAAAAAAGAATAGACAATATGTCATCAAAAGTGAAAAGAAAAAAATTATTTCATTACAGTTTTACTCGTGGAAATAGATTTATTTCATATTATTTCTGATAACGAAATTAATGGAAATAAAAGAATATTGTTTAATTAGTTATTTTAGAGATTAGTTTAGAGGCACAACTAGTATTCAGTTAATTAAGACACAATAACACGCCGAACAAATACCAATTCAGAAGTCAAACAACAAAAATCAGCGTTATACCTACAAAATTTTCACAGGACTAGTTTCGATGGTTTTACCGAACCATCATCTTCAGCTGCAAAACCGCAAATTTTATACCTACAAAATTTTCACAGGACTAGTTTCGATGGTTTTACCGAACCATCATCTTCAGCTGCAAAACCGCAAATTTTTGCGGTAAAACCATCGAAACTAGTCCTGTGAAAATTTTGTAGGTATAACGCTGATTTTTGTTGTTTGACTTCTGAATTAGTATTCGGTTTTTTTTTTTTTTTTTTTCAAATGTTGCTTTTTGACTTCAAAATAAAGATAGTTGAAAGATTTGCTTTTCACTAAAGAAGTTGCAAGGAAATTTAAGGTTTCGTGAAATATAGTTTGAAGAGATGCAAGAGATGATATAAATCATCTCTTGCAAATGTATGCATACTTTTCAATCTCTGTATAAAATTTACTTAATATTATCTTTCAAAATTGGAGTGAGTATTTGAAATCAATAGAATTATATATAATATCTCCGCCAGTCTAAGGCATTTTTAAACACCTCAAAGAGATACTCTTTAAGGTGTTTATAGTTGACATTTTGTGAATGCCTTGATACTATAGAAAGGATTTGCTATTTGAGGGAAATATTTGTTGTATGCCTTGTGCGCTAGCGATGAGATGAAATAATTGCAGAACTTTTACATCTTGAGTGCTCAATAATTTCTTTATCAAATAAGTGAACAATTCTCCATGTAACGTTAACTTACAATGAAATACGTTTTGCTTATCATATGACACTGCTATTTTAATAACTCGTTTTTTATGTATGATTTTTATATTTGTGTGATTTTATCTATGTTTAGAATTCCTTGCGGGGTGAGTTAATTCCTCAACTAAAGCTAATCGTAATTGTTTAGCTTAAAATAGTTTTAGGAATTAAACTGGAATCAACATTTGAAGATCAAATTGTAATTTTTTAAAGGTGAAAGATTTTTTTTTTATTATTATTTTAAAAAAGAATATTAACTTTTTGAAGCCCTAATGCTAAACTTTTCAAAAACAAATAGTCAGATGTTTTCATTTTGTGATTTATTATTATATTTTATTATTTATTTCTACTTGCCTAATTTAATATTTTACTTTGATGTCTGTGTCTTTTTCATATACCGTATAACGTTTGTAAATAACTGTTTTCATTTGCGTGATCTTTCAGTATCTACACTTGCTCGCCATAAAATTTCTATTCTGCTCAAATTTTCTCAGTCTAGACACCAAAGTTGCTTAATGTTTATTCCATTGCTACTCACAGCTATGAGAATAGTTAAACTTTTTCAGAACATTGTGTGAATACATATGAGCTCTTTAAGAAGAGCAGCTGTAATGTAAATATCAGTTCACCAATGAATTCATCTGTACGCTTATAAAGCAGTAACTGCATTGCATTTTACTTACTTAGAAATACTTTTATTCTTTAAACGTCAATGTGATACTGCTACAGGTGAACTCGCAAATGTGTCTTGGAAGAAGATTTTGTATCTAGTCTTGTTCCACATGTCCGTCATCATTTTCACTTTCAATACGCATGTCCACATCCATCTCCAAAACCAAGTGCTTAAAGCCACAGTGAGAAACAGTTCTGAATTGTCTCACTGCTCACTTTTCGCCAGCTGTCAGCCACAAATGTAACTGCTTGTAAGATGTTTACCTTTGCACTGACTTCGCTGGCTTTTGACGATGAGGTTAGAAAACTTTCTTCAATTGTTTCAAGGATGTAATTAACCAACCTTGCACGATAAAGGGTCTTCACATTTTTTATGATGCCCATGTCCATTAACATATCCAAAGCTGTGGTCCTGGGAGGTAGAAATTCCAGTTGGATATTCTTCAAGCAATCTAAATGAGGATGTGCTGCACAATTTTAAAGAATAAGTAGCACTTTTCTCAACTGGCGTTGTAGCTCTCTGTCCCAATCCTTCAGCCATTCTTTAAAAAGTTCAGAGGTCATCCACGCATTTCTGTTCGCACGATACACAACTGGTAAACTGTCCATCCTAAGTCCTTTAAAGCAGCGAGTTCCTATAACCAACAGCTTCCTCTTGTCCGTTCCTGACATGTTTGAGCAGCATAAGACAGTTACGCGATCCATCGCTCTTTTGGAGCCAGAGAGTGCAACATGTTTGTAACTTCACGAGCCGTCCGGTGTAGTGCGATAATACAGCCCAGTTTCATCAGTATTGCAGATGTTATCTGCTGAAAAATTTTCAAGAAGCTCGGGCAGTTTTGTTGATTTCCATTCTTCAGCATCTGCACTATCAGCACTTTCTTTCTCGTCATGTGCTTCCTTGAATTTTATGTCATGTCTAGATTTCCATTGAGACAACCAACCGTCGTAGCTTTAAAGTCATCGTGGCCCAGTTTTATAGCGAGTTCTGCTTTGTATTTTAACATTGGGCCGCTTACTCGCACAGCTCGTCCAGTAACAATGGCAAACCATTCATTCTTCATCGGCGTCTGGATCCTTGCCTTCACTCTTCCGTTTTTTGGAAGTTCTACCTCCTCCTTCACAGTCTTCTCGCAGCTCTTTTTCTTGTTTTATCAAGCGCGAAATTGTAGTCTTTGCCAATCCGGTAATTTCCACCAACCGACGCTGACTGGTGTTTCGTGGTTGTTGCTTGATCTTATCCAGGATCCCAATTTTTTTAGCTAACGTCAAGTCTCGTCGTGGCATTTTGGCAAGGGAGACAAGACACGCGCACAGGTCATTGACTAAAGTGGTCTGAAGAAACTTTGGTGTTTCGGGGTCAAGATGTTGAGGTCAAGAGCGAGATAAAATGCTCGCCATTCAAAGCTTTGGCACTAAACTCATCCCAAAAGGGTGGTGAAATGAGAGCTTTCTCGTGTAAACTTGATGTAATGTAATCATGATTGACAGGCGGGAATTCCTTTCAGGTGGATCCGGACACTCATTTCCTCGAAAATTGGAGACGCAGTGGGACCAATAACCTCGCTGGCGGATACTGGTGGCTCTGTTTTAAGAAAGGTCAAAGAAAATGGTGCGCGTGTTCACCTCCCACTAGTTTTGCTCTTATCATGCACTTTAAGGTATTCATGACCTTTGATAAAGCCTTCTCCTGGAGATCGCAGCTACAGATCTCCCATATATCACGAACCACCTGTACATCCGCTGTACGCGGCCGACTTGTGGCTTCTGTTTCTTATTCGCTCTCACGTTTTTTGGTCCGATTAAACGAAATTTTGGTCCAAATAAGCGAATATATTAGGTTTATGTACATAGGATTTGTTTCGGTTCTTTAGGATTCGGTCCGAAAAAGCGGCTGGTCCGATTATCCGGTGGTCCAATTAACCGGATTCGACTGTATATATTTTAGTAGAATTCAATTATACGGAGTTCCACATCGAGGATAATCTACATGTGAAAATTCGCCGTTCTCTGTGTAATTTATAAAAGAATGCTACAAGGTCTCCCATAATCATTGATACATTTTATTTTTTTAAGTAGCGTTAAGCATTATAGTTGCACAATTGTACTGTTTTAACGGAAAGTATTAAAGTTTTATTATAGCTGTTCATTGTGAACTTCTCTTACGACGGCACTAACATCTAGTCTGCACTCTTAGATATCCTAAGCTTTTACCAATATGCTTTTGTCAGTCGTTTATGTTATTACGATCTTCAATTTCAGATCATGAAAATTCATTGCAACGGATTGAATAAACACTTTTATATTTTTCACGCAGCACCATAGCAGGCCCTGCTTTCCTCAATTATTTAACCTTGAACTCCAGATCGTCTAATCTTGGTAGATCACCATTAAGGAATTCCCAAAACCAGAAATAGAAATGAAGATACGCTTTATATTGTTGAAAGATGAATGCATTCGTTTGCTATTTAAGTTGAAACATTAACCAAATATCAAGCATATTACATGCGACTGACCAAACCTTTTTTTTCCATTCCTGCTACTCAAAGATGCCAAAAGTGTGAAACCATCTATGAGTATTAGCTCAAAAATTCGGTTCGTGAGAAATTGCGTCCTAAAAGCATGTTGAGTTATGGTGAATCTATTTTAACATGAGGAAAAATCCAAAAGTTTTTTTAGGCGAAGATCTTTGTGGAAATTAGCAACTTGGCTATAACTTAATAATTCCTCCAAAATAGATAGCTTTATCATTTTCTACGTAAAGAGATTATACAATCAATTCGACTCTCGTTATATTGACCATTCGAATCCTGAAGAAAAATAACATTACAATGGGTGATAGCCGTAATGAAAATGTATTTAATATGCTCTCATTATTTGAAACTTTTACACGTCGTTACAACGAACGTCGAGTGCCCGTGTATATGTCTGGCTGCTCAGTCGTTTTAATCTCTGAAAGTATATGAGTTATATAGGGTCACCAAATACATCCTGTGCAGTGAAAATCAACTTATATTTCTTGCTCATAACCTAAATGCTGTCGAACCTTGGCACTCTGAAATGCAGGAATATTCTGCATTTGCCTGCATTAAAATATCAAAGTAGCTGTCGAAAATTACGATAAAGAAGCAAGGAAACCACCATAAAACAAGTTATACAGGACAGTTTAAACAAAATCTAAAACGATTAAATGCATTATAAAGTTATCTGTTTTGTCGCCATTTATCATTTTATTCTTAATTTCACAGTAGAATAAATTATTTACTTCAAAATGTAACTGTACTGCTGATTATTTCTCTTAAAATTTTCAACATCTGTCAGCTACGGAATATATTATAGACCATAAAAATAAATTTGAACTTGCATTTTTACTTATTTTTAACATGTAAAAAATGATTCTGTACTTTATATTGACAAAGAAATAGCTGCAAATTTCAGTTTTTATCTAAGCCAACGTCTGCCCTCGTCACGTCGAATAGCTGAGTTTCTATAATAAAGAGATGTATCGCACACAGGAAATTTCTTATTATTAATCTTATGACTATGTTATGTAATGCATTTTTTTTCACTCGGTAGGTTCTGAAAGCGGAAGGTCACAAGTTTCATCCAGAATGCTTCCGGTGTGCAGTTTGTAAAAAATGCTTGGACGGCGTTCCCTTCAGCGTCGATGATCAGAAAAATGTCCTGTGCATGGACGATTACAAAAAGTATGACTTATCAACTTCATTTGCAATTCTGTTGTTCTCTTTATCTCTTTTATTTCAGGAAATGTAAATTTGATACTAAGAAAGGATTCACGATTCTTTCATTAATTCTAAAATCAAAATGATAACCTAGGCATAAACCAGCCAGAAAATTGAATAAGTTCTAATCAGAAAATAGAATAATGTTATTAAATCTGAATATAATTTGGTAAGTATTCCAGATAATATATGTGCCAATAATGACATTGTTTACATGAAACTTCAAATTGTTACTTGTATAGAAATGAATATGTCACTGACCAGAGACTTTGCGCACCATTTATAAGAGTATGACTTTGCCCAAATCTAGAAACATTTTAACGAGGCATCCAGACGGAAGAAATAGAAAAGCATTGCATGGAAGACGTTATGAACCAGCAGATTTCAATGCTCTATATCTAATATTTGTTTTTATCTTCAGAACACTTCGTTTTATTTGTTGCACGTTTACTTTCGTATAAACGAAAAATAAAATAAATATCTCTACATTAAAACATTATTTGCTTAAAATGTAACTTTAACGTTAATAATTTTCTAAAGCATTAAAATTTGAAAATATTACAACTAAACTTTTCTCTTTTTTATAATTTGTTATTTTGAAGTATTAATATCGAATATGCATTGCATGTCTGTGTTTTCTTTATGCATATTTTCTGACTAAAATTCAGCAGCAATCAAATCACATGGTTCTTCACCATCTTTCTTATAATTTCTATCTATTTCCCGATATCTTAGTGAAATCTTTCATTTCATTCTGTTCTCTTATTCCTCTCTCATACAAACCGTTACCATATTTATTACTTAATTACTTAGACTATTCAATTAGTTCTATTACAACGAAATCACTAATTGGATGAACAGTCATCACTGTCGAATCACTACTTGGATGGACAATCATGGGAAAGATAAATGATTACATTTCAGAAAGAAGTTCCTTGTCCATGTCATTAACAATAAGGTACATGTTGACTCATAGCAATGACAGAGAAAACTTGTGGAAATTAAAAGCGCTGGGAATTGTAAATTCTAAAGAAAATAAAACTGAATCAGAGTTAGAAGAAGTTACTTTCACAAGACTCTAAAGAGGGTGGACGATCGATATGAAGTCAGTTTGTTTTAGATCAACGATAAAGAAGCTTTACCAAGTAACAGAGAAGTTGCTGTAAAATTATTGATTTCTACGACAAAGAAGCTCATGTTGAAAGATAAATTTGAAACATGCAATGCAGTGATGGAAGAGTGGCTCGAATCTGGAGTAATAGAAGAAGTACCAGGAGAAGAGGAACGAGTTAACAATTATTGTCTTCCCCACAGACCGGTCTTCAAAGATATCTGTACAGTAGCAGTACGACCTGTATTTGTCACTTAACGACTGTCTAGCAAAAGGTCAAAATTTAATTGAATTGATACCTAGAGTGCTTCTTGATTTTAGACAAGGAAAAAAAGGGATTATCTCAGATATTAAAAGAATTTTTCTTCAAATATCTGTTCAAAGAAGTGATCGTGATTTCCTAAGATTTCTATGGTGGAAAATCTCGGAACAAAGAGAAATAAGGAAATTTCGCCAATGCAAAGTAGTCTTCGGACTAAAATGTGGTCCTTTTCTTTTAGGAGCAGTGATCAACTCTGATTTAGTCCATTGTGAACCTTCTCTGAAGGAAGTGCCTATAAAATTGAAAAATTCCTTCTATGTTGACGACTGTGTCACTCCAGTGAACTCGAATGAAGAAGCAGAATACTTTATTACAAAATCAACTCAATTAATGGCAAGTGCTAACTTTGGCTTAAGAGGATGGGAGCAAACTGAACAGTGAAACATCTATAATGGGCGAACCATTGAAAGTACTTGGTCTCCTGTGGAATAAATATGAAGATTTATTGTTTTGTGACATCCCTAGTGTCGACTTGATTGAGCTTTCAGTGACAAGACGAAATCTACTATCAATTGCACAGAGAGTTTAAAACTCAATAGATTTTACCTACACTTTTACACTCCTCCCGCAGTCATACTTGCAAAAGAGCTGGAAAACTAAACCGAGCTGGGATGCAGAGCTACCTGAAGATATCGGAAGAAAATTCTTGAAGTGGGTCAAAGAACTGCTCTTGTTATCATCCATGAAGACTCGCAGGCTAGTCACACTGACAGGAGGAAAATCTTTTAGTTTGCATATGTTTACCGACGCTTCACAGAGATCGTATGCATGTGCAATATATATGAAAAGTCAAAATAAAGAAGAAATCAAAGTGACTGTATTACAAGCCAAAGCGCAAGTAGCTTCCTTGAAAAAAAAGCAAGTATTCTACGACTTGAATTGCTTGCTTGTCTTATTGGAGTGCGATCAGCCTCATTTGTAAACTTAAAGTCGAAATTTCAAAGGAATATTACTGGACAGATTCTTCGACAGCAGACTTCTGGATAAAAAATATATAAGTTTGGAACAGTTTTCTAAATAACAGAGTTTAAGAAATTCGAATCCTATCGGACCATGAAAATTAGTACCGTGTATCGGGTGCAGAAAACCCAGCCGGTGTGACATCAAGAGGATGTTCTGTGAAGAAACTTATTGAATGAAGATGACGGGCGGGTTCACCTTGGTTAGCATTGCCGAAAGACAGAGTACAAGAAATGCTAATAATGATCGGGTGGATACACGTATTCATAGAGATAAATTCATAGACGATAGAGGACAAAAGAAAGAGAAGCCGGAGAGTTAAAAGTTTATGAATTGATAAGAGCTGAGAAATGTATTGTGAAGATTATTTAGCAATGATTCCTTTTCATCTGATGATAATAAGATGAAGGTATTGTACGTGTCAAGTCTAGGTTGAGTGAAAGGAAAGAAATTTTATTTATCCGATGTTACTTCCGAAGAATCATAAAACTCGAGAGAAATTGATAATTAATACACATCTGTCTATGTCTCATGCAGGAATTCACGTACAGATTTCAACATTTAGAGAGACGTTTTGGATCCTGAAAAGCAGAGCTACAATTCGAAAAGCCATATATGTATGTATCAGGTGCAGGAGACATGGAAATAAACGACTACATACTGTGCCTGCTACTTTACCACAAAAGAGATTTAGAGATGCTCATGTTTTCGAAATTGTTGGAGTTGATTTTAGCTGGCCCATTAATTTTGAAGGATAAAAGGTAGCTTGGATTTTTACCTTTCAACTGTGCTAAATAATAGATTTTACCTTTCAAATGGCAGTTCATTTGGAATTGATTTTGTCCCTTTCAACTCAAGGATATTTACTTGGGCTTAGAAGATTTATTATCCGTAGGGTAGGCCATCGATAATTTATTGCGACAAGGGAGGAAATTTTTTCGGATCCAATCATTTCTTGAGATCAATTGATTGGAATACCACTGAGATAGAAGCCGCCACAAACAAGATTGACTGGAAGTTCACACCACCCGCAGCACTATGGTGGGGTGGCTTTGGTGAACGACTTGTTCAAATGATTAAGAAGCTTTTGCGTCGAGGCCTAGGCAAGTCGTGTTTGAATTATGAAGAACTGAGGAATGTGCTATGCGTCTGCGAAGCAACTGTGAATGACAGACCACTTACTTATGTGTCAGAAGATCCTGATGATCTCATGCCTTTGACACCGTTCTTTGTTTATTAAGTGAAGTTCCAGTTTTTGGAGTTCCTGACTTGGATCACCTTGATAAAGTTGATTTCAACAAGAAACTGAGACATCTACAGAATTTAGGATAGCTCTCGAGAAAGAGATTTATGAATGAATATCTCGGCGTGCTTTTGCAAAGTGAAATGCCGATTTCTCAACAGATAAATATAAGAGACATATTTTTCATCGATTGTAATGACAAACGCAAGGTGCTGTGGCCGCTAGAAAAAGTGATTGAGTTATACCCAGGAAAAGGCGGCAACATTCGAATAGTTTGTGTCAAAACCATGTCTGGAGAATTAGTTGTACCAATCCAGAGAATATTCCCTCTCGAAATACCTTCATCTTTGGAGTCAGATGAGAAAAATGAAACTGAGACGCAGGGGGAAAATAATTTAGTTTCAAAATCACCAAAGAATAATTTAGCTGCTATCAAAGGGCATTAAGACTGTCGTGAATAGAAGTGGACGACAAATTAAAATCACACGTAGATTTCTTACCTGAACACTATTTGAGTCATTTTAGTCTAGAAATTTTAATTTTCCTTTTATTTACTATTTTATTTAGCCTTGATATTTGTGAGGACAGTATTTTTTATATTTGTTTCGATTGATTAAATGAAGGTCATCAATTAAAAGGTGGGACTATTATTAGAACCCAGCCTCAGTTGTTATTTTTCATTCATAGTTTGAAATTGTGAGTGGCAACCTTATGATATGGGTGCGAGTTTAATGTTGTGCTACGGATTTTGAAAATAAACAAGACGCTTTGGAATACGTACATTTCTAATCCTCATGCAGGATAAAATCTTTTCTATTACAATTTTAAAGCTATAAGGCATTTATTTGACTTCCTTATTTTGCATAACGACTGAGATTCTATTACAGTTGCTCATTTTATATTTGATGATTTAGTTTTCTTTGAAGCAAAAGAAAGAAATTCTAATAGAAATTTTACATTTGTTTTTCGAACTAACCGTGAAACATAATATAGGCTATTGTGAAATAATAAATCTGAAGGTATGCGGTATTCACAATTCTGTTGCAGTTGTGCTGGCTGACGTTGGTGATGTTCAAACGAACGGCTTCTTTGGCATACACTGTTTTTATATGAAATAAATTATCGTAACTCTTCATACAAACAGTATAATGTTTACCTTAGATTCTCAGAATCTTTAAAAGGCAGCTAAAGAGACTGTCATTGGTTTTGAGTCCTTTTAGAATTACACGCCAATATGAAATCATACACGTTCAAATAACATTCTTTGTATTAATTCTTTTGATATTTTATGTGCTAGGAAGTTGAGTTTTGATTGTACCGATCATTTCCACTATAAAACAATAAATCTGAATTCGTCTGTTTCGGGAAATCATTAGATTACTGTGTATATCAATGACCTTTATCTAATATAGCTCATTAACTAAATCAGGAAACCAGTAGCCTGATAGCTGTTTTCTTAATGGAATCGGTTAATTTAGAAATGATAGGGACTTAAATGCAGCTAATTAATTTCTAATAGCATTTGTATTAAGTATAACGTAGTAAATGTGGTTAGCTGTAAAATGCATAAAATGTATGGTATAAACACATTCTGTTAAAGTACGAGACCAAATCTTAAAAAATCAAATAAAAGATTATTTTAACGTAGCGAATGTGGCGTGATTTATGTTCTTCAAACTTACGAAAATAAAATGTAAAATTATAATTGCGAATAGTGTACTTGAAATTTTACTTTGATTTTTAAAGCTTGTTACCAGAAAACTTCAATAATCTTTAATAAATTTTGGATGCCATAACTTCTTATCAGAAAGAAAAGGGTCCTAAATTTAAATTAAAAAAACATAGTAGATATCTATTACTACAAACAACTGTCTTACATTTGTAGTTTAGTATTTGCCTCACATTATCAATCCCATTTGTGTCAAAATTATCAAAAAGTTATAAAACCATTTATAGGTCATAAATATTAGAAAAATTAAAACTGTAAAATTAAAATTAAACTGAAAAACTAAAACTGTTTTTTAAGAATTATGAATTTGTATTTTTTCAGAAGGAAAGCTTTTAGCAAATCTGTACAATAATAAAGACTCCGTTTATTAGTAGTAAAAGTAAGAGATAAAATAATGTAGTATGTCATTAATAATAATGTAAATTTATTATTACTTAATTTGAAAATATAAAAATTAAAACACAACTTTGCGGTCCATAACAACAATTTTGCACGAGGTTTCTAAATTTATTTCGAGGTTCCAAACGTACTGAAATAAGAAAAATTAACAGTATGCTGTAGACTAATATAGTAAGTTTCTCATTTTATGAGAAGTTCATGTTTTTAAATTTGCTGAACTTCTTTCGTTTTTAACTAAATGTTAAATTTTATATATTTTTAAAGTATCTAACAGAAATAAAAATTACCTTGTAGCAACATTACATCACATTCCGTTAAACTATGCTAATATTGTAAAATGATATGTATAAAATGTAAATGCAGTGTTCATAACCTTCTTTCGGAAGGATGTATGTAATAATAGCACTTATAAACAGATTAATTCTATGTATTACAAGGCATTAAAATATAAAATTACATTTGCGAATTAATTAAATTAAATTAAGTTTAGTCAATTAATTTTAGTTTGCAAATTTAAAAGAAATGTTAATTTTCTTGCAAAGGTTTAAATTTAAATCAGGTAGTGCGTTGCGTAAAATATTAATCTGATTTTGAAAAATTCTGTTTTAAAAACTGTGCACCCCCCTCCACGATTCAAGGCTGGCTACGACCGTGTGCATGATTTGTTATCGCATACAGCAATAGTTGGTTGCATCAGAAGTCGTCTACGACCTAAATTATCTGTTTTAAATATTTTCTTGTATAATTCATTATTCATATCCAATGGCTTAAAATACAACGGGATAACGAAATTCGTATATCGAATAACATAAAAAGCATTAGGAAATAGATCTTTCCGCTATCAAATATTTAAAAATTATATATCAGTAAAATGAGATTAATACCGGACATAATTCAACACTCGACAGTAGATCCCTACTGGTTCCGGAAGGAACCAACTATGATTGAATCCTTATGAAACTCCTGCCTTTACCTTCTTCTTAAGTAACCAGGCTGAATTCTAACATTGAAGTTCTGTTTTATATATAGTACTAGAATATATAATTTTTGACTCTGCTTACAGGAAAGTGGCACCTCAATGCGCACGATGTAAGAAGCCCATCGCTCCTCCTTCTTACACAAATGAAGTAACTCGTGTGTTAGCAATGGGAAATAGCTACCATACCACTTGCTATCGCTGTGAGGTAAGTATGCTCAGCCGCCACATATTATTTTCAGTTGCTATAAATTATATACTTATATGAATAAACTCATTAACTACGGTATCTGTAACATGAAACTGGACCTTATTAAATTACTCGATCATATCGAATATGTGTTCTTTAATGGCATCCAGTGACGGATACAATTAATGCTTGAGTGATGGATACAATTACTACTCCAAATTTTCCTTCTCTCTCCTTTCGGTTGTAATTGAAGTTAATAGTTCTTTAACTACTTCTTCTACGTAGTTCTTACTTCTCAGAATGACATTTTTGAGCTCAATCATTTTTAAGTCGTTTGTGACATCTTCTTCTAATTAAGATTGGCATTTTCTCCTTTCATTAAATACTCCACACAGAAATACCAAAGAGTAATATATAAAGCAATAGAACTGAAGTCCTTAGCTTTAATTATTATAACAAAAATATACCAATGTAACCAGTTATACTTAAAAATCATTATCCATTTGCACTTAATGGATACTGCGGATACTGCTTGACTGAACTGAATAAATGTATAAAGATATGTCTTCTATTATATTTTACACAATTAAAAAAAAAAATCTGATGTGACCACCACATGAATAACTTGTACAGTCTGTAATGCCTGTAACTCCATGAAACAGAAAAAAAGGTCTTTAACTTGCGATATAGAAAAAATGGCAATTCATAATTATCCTGTTACATCAGATCATGAACTCGTAAAGAGAAAGCTTGAAAAACTGAAAGAAGTAGATCATCTAAGAGAATTGAAGAAAAGTCGTGCTATTTTCCTTTTCTTCACCAGAGTTGTAGCTAGGGTTTTTAGCGCCCAGGAACAACTGAAGATTTCGCGCCCCCTACTGCTTGCCAAGGATGGAAAACATTTAATTCTAAAATGTCGTAACATCAGTTTGGCGCCCCTTGGATTCTGCGCCCGGGGACAGATGCCCCCCTTGCCCCCCTCTAGCTACGCCCCTGTTCTTCACTATCTTCAACGTTTTGGTTATCCCGTAGCTAAGGGTGCAGAAATGTCCTTTTACAAAACGCCTTCTTTTGTAAGATTCCGACAGAATATGTTTATCCTATGAGATGATTCAAACCAAGGAAGGAAACCTCTCGTTAGTTTAGTCATTTGTATTCAGCATCACTCTTGGACACAAAACCAAGAAGTTTCTGAAAGGGACCTATGCAAAATTGTTGTAATTCATAGCTATTGAAGAGAATAAAACACGTTTCTTTTTCTTGATTATATTAATATGATTCTGACGTGGTAGCAGCGAAAAGAAATAAAGAATCATCACATTGGTTGAGTACTATATTTTTCGGTCCTCTATCGTTCAAATGCAGGGATATTTGTGTCTGTAGTGGTAAAAGGTTCCAAGATTAAAGCAAATGGTAGAAAAATACGTTAAATTACTTGTTATTAAATGTAAAGTTATTCTGTGAATTTAAAAATACTAAAAGATTTTAAGGTAGTTATAACACTTGGTTGATAAAGGTTCTTTTTGTTTTGGGCTTTGAAAATGTGCAAAATGCTCAAATAATTTATTTAAGTGTTGTATTTACAGTTTTGATATGTAAACGAATTTTTAAGAATAACTGGTTACATTGGCATATTTTTGTTATAATAACTAACGCTAAGGATTTCGGTTCTATTGCTTTATATATTACTCTTTGGTATTTCTCTGTGGAGTATTTAATGAAAGGAGAAAAGTGTGTGTGTGATTATGGAAAAGCCTCGAGGGCTGTCTGCCTAAGGGGAGGGATGCCTTCGTGGAGGACTTTCTAAGGGAAACTGGCTCGTATACACGTTACACATGGGGAAAACCACGAAAACGCCCATGCAGCCAGCCCGTTCGCGGGATTCGAACCTCGGACCGAACTACCAGTGTTCAATGACTTTAACGCTCGGCCGCTGGTGGGCCGAAAGGAGAAAATCCGATCTTGTACTTTTAACCGATGAATTAGAAGAAGATGTCACAAACGACTTAAAAATGATTGAGCTCAAAAATGTTATTCTGGGAAGTAAGAAATATGAAGAAGAAGTAGTTAAAGAACTATTAACTTCAATTATAACCGAAAGGAGAGAGAAGGAAAATTTGGAGTTAACCCAGAGAAGGTTACTGGGAGAACACGAACGGATAGAATTAGAAGGATTAAAGCTTGAGACGGAGAACCGTAATTTAAATTCTGAAGGTTCAGTTGATTTAAGAACGAGTCCCAAAATAAAAAATTTAGGCCATACTGTTAAACGATAAAATAAAACGATAAATTAAAACGATAAAAATGCTAACCGTCAAAGTTTCGGCAAAACCAAAGGGTTGGAATTATTTTTTGAACAGTTTAGAAAAGGTTTCCGCTAGTGAAAAAGGTAGCGGATAATATAATATATGGAGTGCTAATGTGTTTATTAGGAGACAAGGCTGCATACGTTTTAACCTATTTAGAGGAAGAATAATACGAGGATTATGAAGCACTAAAAACTATAGTACTTCGGGAATATGAACCATCACCTAAGGCTTCTCTGGAAAATTTTAAATAAGCTAAGAGGAACCCGAAGGAAAATTTTACTCAGTTTGCTACTAGATTAAATTCTATGTGGAGTTATTACTATAAATTGAGGGAAGCGACTGATCTGGAAATTATCAACCAGTTATTAGTTGCTGATAGATTAATGGAAATGCTCGATATGGAAACTGCTGCTCATATGCGTATTAAGCAGGGAAAAGGTTGAAGGAAACCAAAGGATTTAGCGAGAGAGTGGAACATTTTTTTTCTCCGCGACAGGGAAATACGAGTATTACACCAAATGTTGTAGGAAAGAGAACGATATCAAGCAGGGATTATCACCAGATAGGATTAAAGTAAAGCCAAAAGAAAGCTACAAACATAGCTCAGATAAGCGGGTTTCAACATGATCCAAAGGAGGCAAATTGGATTTCGTTCCGAAAAAGTCTGCTTGTTACAAGTGGAACATTTTAAAGGTAATCGCATTCAAGATAAAAAATACGAAGGGAAAATTTGCGAAAGTATGTACAGTAGGTGCGATAGGTAACGACAAATTAAAAAAAACTGAGAAAGACGAGGAAAAGTGGGAAGAAGTAATGGACAAAGAAAAAAGAGACCGCCGGTTCCCTATTGAAAAAAAAAAAAAAAAAAAATCAATCAAAACGACCAGGAGCAGAGAATCCGGCACAAACAAGAATTCTCGTCAAAATATAAACAATAGTTTTCATTCACCTCCTTGCCAACATACAAGAGCACCTACTAACAGTCGCATATATGTGGAAAATATTCCTTGCGACTTTAGGTGGACAACTGTGCAAGATTTTATTTTGTGAGAAAATTGTTGATGTTCCATATGTTGAACTTTTGGAGGATGAGAATGGAAAGTTTAGAAGATGTGGTATAGTGGAATCAAGGGAGCTTCATCTGTGAAAAAAAAACCAGTTGATTATTACATAGATTTGAATTCGGAGGTCGTCAGCTTGTTGTGAAAGAGGATTTTGATGTTGATAGAGGCAAAACAGGAAAATTACTTACGCGGAGCCGAGGAGGTGGTAATGGTATAAATTTGGAAAGGGAACGAGATGATTATGGTGGACTTCGAATTAACACTGCTCTAATATAATACATATGGCTTACTTTCACAGTTTTTAGATGCTTTAGGGATTACAGGCCCATTAACTTGTAGAGTCTTTGTGGCTAATTTAGATTGTGAAGTTACACCCCAGAAATTAGAATAGGTTTTCAAGCTTGCTGGCCATGTTGTGAAAATTGATTTAAAGCGAGATGAAAAGTAAAGGACATGCACAACTGAGATGGGTCTTCCGGCAGAAGGAGCGCAGGCTATATCTATGTTTAATGGTCAAAAGTTTTAATCTCCAATCGGAGAACTGTGAAATCCTGCTTAGGGACGACATGCAATGGTGAACTCCATGGACTCTTGGAAGGACGGATTATCCCTAGATCCAGGAGGAATTCGAACTCAGATTTCACTGCTTCTTGCAGCTTGGGATGGAGTCGTCTCGGTTTTGAGGACACAGGTGGTCTACGGGTCAAGATATGGTGCACTGTGCTATGAGGAACAGTCTGCTTAATTAGAGTAGGATTTGTTATATCTGGAAACTCAAAAAGCAAGGAGTCATAATCTGAATTAAACCGAAACAGTGACAGTAGAAGGTTGCTTTTGTGAGTAACAATGCCATAATTGCGTGCCTTATCACCAAAACAGTTGTGATAGAAACACGCATTACTGGAAGTATTACCATTCCTGGAACGAGAGGTTGAGCGACTCCAGAACCTACTCGTCGTCCGTGCACGAGAAAGTTCAGAAACTTGGCGTGTAATTTCTTCGATTTGCCTAGCTAGGGTTTCAGTTGTGATGCTATTGGTATCCAAGGACGTTCCAGCTCCAGAAGTAACACAGATTGCCCTAGGTTGAACAACCTCAGCGACTTTATCAGCTATAATTGCTATCTGATCAAGAGTTTCAGAAAAAGCTGACAAAACTGTTTGGATATAGGTTGGCATCCGTTGCATCCATAAATTTTGCAGAAAGTCATCATTTAGCTGTTTCCCAGATAGCTCTTTCATTTTCCGGAGGAGATGACTAGGCCGTTCATTCCCCAGCTGAAATTCAGAGAGGAGCTTTTTAATTTTCTGGTGCTCAGAATCTTCAAAGTCACTGATGAGCCTCTCAGACAGTTTTTTATATTCGTCACAATCCGGAGGCACGATATCTGAGACGTGTGATAGAGTTTCCGCATCTATGTTCGCTATAAGAGCAGAAAATTTCGTTTCATCACATAATTCCATTATAAATGAAGGCATTGTCACACTGTGCGATTCACAACCGCACGTTAGCCTTCCAGAAAGGTGGAATGCGAAGTGCAACTTTCGCGACTTGGCCCTTCTGATCGAGAGGAGGCATCGCAAGTATGTAGAAACAGTTCCGGAGAGCAGAAAGAAAATAATTGTAATTATCAAGAAAGCGAAGTCACCACAGTTGGATAGACTTAATACAGCAGGCGTGCAGTAGGCTAAGCAAAGCACTTGACCAATTAACTTATTTATCGTCCATAGGCCACCAAAGAGATTACGGCAGATTGGTTCTGCGTGTTCATAAATAACCTAAGCTTATTCAATTAATCACATTTATTCACAATTACATAGAGAAAGAAAGATCATGTTGGCAAAACATTTCACCCCGCGTTTCTGCACGCTAGCGATAACCGCATAGCGACGAGGAAGACAGGGGAAAAAAAAAAAAAAATCTGTTCACTTCACTTTGAAAAAGCGTCCATAGTTTAGTTGTATACATGAAAAAGAAAAATAGTTTACATTTAATTTAAAAGTTCGTTGCTGCAAAATGAACAATGTACCTTATCGCTGTCTAATTGGTTCACTTGTGTATCTTTCCGTGTTTACTAGGCCGGATATCACATATGCTATCAGTCACCTGAGCCAATTTTAATAACAATCTTGGAAATTAAAATGGTTGGCTACAAGGCATGTTGTTGTTGTGAGTGATCTCGCTTGTCTGAAATCAGAATAAACCTACGAAATTCATTGTGGCAAGGAGTCAAGATTGCGCCTGTCGTTGGTAACAATCTTGCTCACCATACAGGTGACAGTAAGAGTTTGCTCAGTTCCGCCCCCAATTTCTAAGGAGAGCACCCCATGGAGGACGGGTCCAAGGCCCTCTTGCCCTAGCATGAACCCTTCAAGAAGACTTTCGACTCACCGTATATTTAGAATGCCTCCATGTCGCACAGGCACTATACATTTACAAACATCCATGCCTTCTCCGCAATTCGAACTCGGGCCTTTCGGTACGGTAATCAGAATCACTAACCAGTCTCGGTTGGGCAGCGCACAGCATGTTCTTAGATACTTGAAAGGAACTAAAAATTTAAATTTCAAAAGACTGGAAAAACACTTTTTATGGATATACCGATGCCGATTGGACGTCCAAAGTTAATACTATAAATTCCTATACAGGTTATCTATTCAAACTTGCTAGAAATCCCATAACACAGGAATAACGAAAGCAACAAACAGTTGCATTATCAACTACTAAAGCAAAGTACATCAGTAAAGTTCCGGAGTTCCAAAGTTCCGGAGAGTACTAAAGAAGTAGTTTATGTAAAAATGTTTGTTTATTAACAGAGAAAATGCCTGTCGAATACTGACAAAAACACTGACTGCTCCGAAATATTCTAAATGCTGTAAATTAATTGGAATGACTGTAAACGATTCATTTTTATTTTTAGCCGCCCAAACGTGGAAAGGGCGAATTGTTGGATTTATAATATCCATCTTAGAGCTTGCCTTCTCTTGACGCATGCGTAGTTCACCCTTATCGAGGCGCGCCGTGATGACGCAGTCTCTCTCCTCTGCTGCATGTATATAATGTGTGCGCATAAGATAAAAAATATGTAAATCAAAATTATAATGTAAACTAGCGGTAACCCGTAATCTCCCCCTTCAAAGAGCAGTGTGATAAAAAAAAAAAGAGAGAGAAAGACGTAGCAAATTTTGATCACTTAGCATGTACATAACTTAGAACGTAGATCCCTACTGAAGAGGAAGTATTCCGATTGCGTAGACTGCTAAAATGCTGAATCCATAATGAACAGCAAACTTAACTCTCGAGGCAGATTAAATCTTCATTTTTATTTCAGTTGACATTTGTGGCCACAATTTGGCACTCTGATTGTGCCTATTTCTAGAATATTTACATTTTTGATACTATTGTGATAGGACGAGAGCAAAGCAAAATAGCGTCTAAGCAGCAACAGAGGCAGAAGCAAAGTGCACAAATATACAGTATGGAAGTTCCAAGACTCAACCAAGAGAAGGTTTCGATTTAACTTAGAGAGGTTTCATTTTTCAAAATTTTGAGTTAAGTTCTGAATTAGCTACGTCATTAGCTTAACGCAAGCTCTGTGGCATAGATTAATCTAGAAAAAGCGCACTCAAGAAAAGTTATTATTATTTTTAGAATAGAGAGAGAGGAAATGACCCACATTAAAAAATGAGGAATTAAGAGACTATTACTAAATTAAACTATAAAGCTGATTTACATATTTTTTATCTTACACACACACACACACACACACACACATATATATATACTCTTAATTACTATATATATGCCTCGCTTTCTCTCCAGTGTCAATGTCCATGTACCTAATTAAAATGTTGATTAACGTTATAATCTACCTGGGCTCATTTTTCTTCAAGTATATTTAAAAAGCATAGTTTTTCTACACAGTATCGGAGTTAAAGCTTCCTCTCACGCTGCGATTTCATTTGTAAAAATAGGTGTTTATAAGCCCTCCGATTTTAATACAAAACAGAAAAGAAAAGAAAAGTTTTCTATTCAACATACACTTTTTAAACACTTACAAGAGCAAATATACAATTACTTATGATGACTACATGAGACATAAAACTACGAGAATCTAAGTTATTTTCTATTTAAAAATTCTACAGAAAAAATTGAGACGTCACTTCCATGGTTTGACGATAATACCTGATTTTACTTTATTAAGAAAGATATTTTAAAAAAATATTCCACTTATTGAATACATTTCAAATTAAATAAATTCGACTAATTGAGAAAAGTTAATATTAGTAACAGTTTGTCGGCAGGAAATACTCAGTTCAACTTGCTGGTAATTTCAAGTATTAAAGTTCTGTTTAATGGGCTAGCTGTTCACGAAGATGATACTCATTAGGAGTACTTAAATTACATAGCATTCTAAGAGGAGAAATGCTGTAATAGAGGGCTTTTGAGTGAAAAGAAGATATATAGATTTTTCACACATTTACATCATGTTTATCTAACAGCATAGCATATACAGAACATACTACAGATATTAGCATTCAGCCTGTTTTCATGGATTCCAATGATGATGAGATATACTTTGGTGGAAGGAACGAAACCTCTTTCTTCCATCTTCTTCAACACAAACCCAATGTTTGTTAGTTTCCCAGTTTTGGGTCAAGAAAAAGAATTGGGAAGATAAATTACTTTTGCCTCATATGAACTGTATATTTCTTTTCTACGCTTTATTATTGTATTGCACAAACTACAAAACAATTTATGTGTACTTTGCCAGATAAAAGAAGTCTCACTAGCATTTCTCTTAGAACATTTGCCATAAAATGAATAATTTTTTTTCTAGGACTGTGGACTTCCCTTATCTTCTAACAGTGACGGCAGAGGTTGTTATCCCCTGAATGACCGCCTTTACTGTTTTGACTGTCACAAACGAAGAGCTCCCAATGTGGCAAAGATGCAAAGTGGAAAGAAGAAATAAAGATTATTCCCTGCTGATGATATTTAGATGAGCGCAGCTTCAATTTTAAAGAATTTCATACCATTGATATCTGCATATATGCTATGAATAATGTAATGCAGCTAATAATCGATATATTGTTTTTATATCAACTTAATGATGATTTAGTACCTCAGATCCAGAAAAAAGGCACTAGAGTAAAGCTGAAACGACATATTTTTAGTATATTACCAGAGCAGTTGTTTTTGCTGGATCTCAAAAAGCTTCAACTGAATTAATGAGAAAATATCATATGTTTTACAAATTTTTTTTCATGCAATTAACAAACAATACAAAGTTGATAAATATTTAATACTACATTGCATAACAAAATGCATTTAGAAACTTCTAATTTATCAAAAATGATGTGATATTTCTATCTGATGACTACTTGCCTTTTAGTTTATCAACAAAAAACAATTTTGTAAAAAAAATATGTATATATTGTAATGATATGTGTGATTAAATTTGTTACTGTATCAAAATATATCAAGATTTTAAAATTTTATTAAAATGCATTGTTTTATTCCAACTATAATAACAATTAATATATGGTAAAATGCTCAAAATAAAAACAGTTTCCTCTTAATATTTTGAGTCTGTTGTTCTTTTTAGTATGTGAATACCAGTTCATTTTATATGACAATATGAATACTACTACATGAGACCAGCCATTATATTTTTCAGTTTTTATCCAAGAATTTTCATCTTTCGTCCTCCCATGTACTACCCCTGAACAAGTTCCTTAAAAAAAAAATAATAAATTTATAGAAATACCTTTCAAGTGCTCTTCTTTTAAATTTTTTAATTTATCTGAAGAATGAATACCTTTCTAAAAAGAACTAATTCATATTCACATTACTGTCTTCCCATTTATAAAAATCTAATAGTGCTCAGTGATTTAATTTATCTGCTCACCTAATGATTTTCAAAGGTTGTCGGATTCGTACTGTAATATGGTGAATGTCGAAATGCTGTGTTGCACGCAGTACGAGTTTATATTCAAACTCCTACGTTTATTATAAATCGAAATGCAGAATACAAAGAGCAACAACTGAAATATTGAACATTTTTATAAAATTCATTCTGCCTTCCATAAATATTACAAATAGTAACAAGGTTTCACAATTAAAAACTTTAATAACAACGTAATTATTATCAAGGGGACGTATCTTAACATAACTTTCTTCACAGCTCACTGTAGCTAAGTAACTAAAGCCATGGAAACGTTTGCATTTATGCAGAATTGATTTCTAACGACTACATAATTTGGTTTCTCTGGGATTTTCCTCATACATAATATAAATCCAAGCAAAGCCAAATGAAAAGAGCATTCGCTTGGGTATTTTATAATTGACACAAAAATCTTTCAATATTTACAAACGTAATCCTTTTCAAATTCAAATTAATACTCTATAGCACATTTTCTTTTAATTAGGTTCTATTAAATTATGATAAAGTATACAAACTCGCAAAATTCATACACAAAATTCTGCATATATTCTTGAGTCTCCCTGTTAATTCGTTCATAAGCAATTTAAAAAGTATCATCAATATTTAAACTTTGATGTTACTTCAGTTCAGAAGAACAGTACTTGACTTCTCTGTAAATATGACTTGACTTAAAATACGTATGAAACCTATGAACAAAATTTTCTCTTTATATGTGCCAAATCTCAGCTTATACACTATACTTTTAACATACTCAAGTGCTTCAGCAGTACAGTCAAAAGTCGTTAATTCGGACACCCATAATCCGGAATAATCTATAATCCGGACCTCAAAGCTGAAAACTTTCTGCGCATGCGCCGCGTTGACACATGCGCAAAGGCGTTACGCGTGCGCGTAAGACCTTTACGACTACGCATATGCGTGTGCACAAGCGTAGAATACGTTTTCGTGTGCGCGTTTAATGTATAACGGACGGTATAAGCTAAAATTATCTATTTCAGTTAATGTTGATGATTGCGTTGTTCCTTAATCTTCGAATTGGATGCGCTTATTATTTTTTGCAGACTGTAAGAATAATTTTATAAAAGTAAACTTGAACTTTCGATTATGTCAAATAGAATTTCCGATGCTGGAGCTCCCAAAGGATCTACAAAACGAAAATATGTTTCGATGTCCGTCAAACAAAAAGTGGAATTGCTGCAAAAAATGGATAAAGACATGAAGAAGGTGACAGAGAGGTTAGTGAAAACGAAAAAATTTCGATTGACAAGTTAGTCGGTATTCTCGGCACAGCAATTACGGGACTTGAACAGCGGAACTTTGTAACCGAACAAGAAATTATGTCTGTTTATAGAATTAAAGAGAAAGTATTATCACATAAAACGAAGCAACTTAAACAACTTACATTGAAAGAAATGTTTAATAAAGTAAACAAATAAATATTAAGCTTTTTTTTTTTTTCTTTTTTTTTTTTTTTTTTTTTTTTTTTTTTTTTTTTTTGTAAATTTTGATACCCTTTAGATCATAATTGTTCTTTATTTCATAAATTACGGTTTCATATTTCTAATTTTAGAATTTCTGCATGCCATCTTACGAGATTTAAACTGATGATCTATAATCCTTAAAAATCGATAATCCGGAATCGCCGAAGTCCCGACGAGTCCGGATTAACGACGTTTGACTGTATTTATTTACTATAAGATTCTTCTCACAATGAATAAAGAGGTTTAAAAACTTCAAATTCTTATTTGTAAATTACATCATATAATACCAAAGGCAAACACTTAATATGCTTTAACTTTGCAGATGCTGCTACAGCTCTAGAATTCAAAACTCTTTTTGACATAATTAAAAATTCAAACTTTAATTTTGATAAGATAACTATCATAATAATGGCCTACAACAAATAATAAACTGGAACAAATTAGAAATTTAAGGAAGAGCGTAGTTTACTATGCAAAGTTAAGTATTTCAGAATCTTTCTCACTTCCCCACTGCTATTCCAACAAAAGAAAACCAGTTTGGGCAACATCTCACTACGTAAAAATCTTGAGGCTTCACTCCAGCCTCAAAATTTTCAGCTACTAGTCAGCCCAAGTGGCTTAAGGCAGATAGAAAAACATTACTCTATCCCACAACCGTTCAAGGGTTAAAAATGTAGTCATGGCTAATGTTATTCAATGTTTGGGCTCTAGCCGGATATTTGAAAATGATATACAGGAATCTGTCAATTGGGAGAAAAATAACTTTATGGAATATCTCCTTCCTTTCAATATTATATTCTCCATTGCTAGATTTTAAATTAAAAAGAAAAATTTTAATTTTATATATAGACATACAATCAGTGTCTAAAATTCTTATATTAACCTCCAGATCAAGTAAAATTTTTATCTGCTTATCTAGAAATATATAACAGTTTGCTGTTAAGCAACTTCCTAAATTTTGAAAACACAATCTTGGGAGTCCACGCTGATAGATTCATACAACAAAAGTAATAAAGAAAAGATGAGGAGACTAGTTGTCAATTTAACAGATATTTAAAAATCAAAGAGCTCCAAAATCTTTGAAAAAGACGCCAAGTTCAAGAAATTCTGAAAATCATCTAGCCATAAAAAGACATCTCACACTACAGTCATGTCCCCATGATACAAACAGCACACTCCATTTGAAAATAAAAGTGAACACTTTCTGAATGTATACAACAGATGAGGTGTAATTAAAAAAGTAAACAATGAAGTAATCTATTTTATATCAGATACTGTGGTGTATGGGTGACGTTAACTAATGAGATGCACAGAGGGCCCTAACTCTCAATCTGAGAGGTGCCAAAAGTTGAGATTTCTAAGAGGAAGACAGAAAAGATAAAGGCTCATAGGAGCCGTTAGTGAAAACGAAATTAACCTGTATTAATTAATGTAAATATTTCTATTATTAATAGTACAGTTTTAATGACCTAGTGTGTAGTCTCGTGGGTGTAATAAACATCTAAAAATATGAATAAGCTCAGATAATTTCTCTTTGAGGCCACAAGAAGATGGAGTGACATTACAGATGCATTTAATAAGCTAAATCAAATAATAAGTTTCATAACTATTAATAACTGTAACTGATTAACAAAATACAAACTTTGGGGGGGGGTGCAATTCAGTGTACTTTTTTAAATGAATATACCAAAAGTTATTACAGAATTAGAAAATTTCTGAACTAAATTTGAATTAGAAGTGTAGTTAAGGGGAATACTGAAGTATTAGAAGTTTTTTGCAAGAGATGTAACAATTTCAATTCTCTCAATTTTTAAAAGACGACTAGGCGTCTACAAAGAGGAAGCATTGTATTTGGAGCACTTTCAAAATGCACCTCAGAAACTATGCATTCAATGCTTATCTACCTTCATTTTTTCCCTTTATTATTTAGAAAAAATAACAAATATTGGGTTTTGATGAAAGTTTCCTGCCACCACAAATATTGTCTGCGCAAACAAGTTCGCATTGGCGCTTTAGTCATATTTTGTCAAACGATTTTTGGCATTTGAAAGAAAGAGAACAGAGATCGGCAAACATTGGCCGATGAGCCAAATGTGGCTCTTTGGCTCCTTGAATGTGGCTCTTCCACAAAATAGCACATGCTGGCACGAGAAAGCAAGAAAAAGAAAATCTTGAAAATGCAACACAAAGGCCATCAACTTTACACAAGCACGAAAACAAATGATTTCGTACAACTGTATGGACAAAAATAAAACTGATAACCGAGTTTGATTATGTCCCTGCTACAGCTAATTACAGGGTGACATAATGATTAAAGATGAAATGCAAATTTCATAACTAAAAAAACTAAATTATCGAATTTTCACAAATCTAACGCAGCAAAACAACCTTGTTTGTTTACATTGAGAAAGGTATGTTAAGTTGGGATGAGCATATAGAGAGGATGAACGAAAGAAGATACACGAAACGAGTATACAAGGTAAATGTGGCTGGGAGAGCTGGAAGAGGGTCGACCTCGGCGAACGTACATTGATCAGATTAAGAACATTCTTAGTAAAATCCAGCATAAGAGTACCCTAATTAAGTGAATAACAATATACCTATCTGCATAATTTAAGTTTGAAAAATGTGGCTCTCAAAAGGACTTATGAGTTTGCCGACCACTGTCCTATATCATAATATATAGCTTTGCAGTCAGAACTAAAATCTTTAAACTAACTGAAAGAAAAAACTAAATCACTGATCTCTCCACAGGTATAAACAAAATATTAAAATATCAATGAACGTCTGAATACATTTTAACCATAATCACATCAAATCTTAAAATCATTAAACTAATTGAAAGAAGAAACTGAATCACCGATCTCTGCACAGATATACACAAAACATTAAAATATTAATGAACTTCTGAATACATTTTAACTTATCCTTAACCATCCCTTAAAAACTTTCAGTTATGCAAACTGTTTTTATTTAAATGCAAACAGAATACCTGTTCAATGAAAATAACAGGAGATAAAAGTTAGACAATATTAAATACTTTTTGCAGTTTTATGCTTTAAAAAAAGTAGGTTTTAAAAATGAAACCGTTTCCTTCAGAATCTACAGCATTTTGGTCCAAAAGCCATAAAGCGCTGGCTTTTGGAACTTAGAA